ACTGAAAGAGAAAAGTTTCAAATGATTTATGGCAGTTTTTTATATCAAATGGTCAGAAACCATATCAGAGAGGATGCCATTTTAGATTTACTTCTCACCATTAATATAAATATGGTAACAAGAGTTGAAATAAAGGAAACTTTGTGGAAGAGTGATCACTGCATAATAAGAAATGGAATTTTAGTTCCTAATTTCAGAAAGCCAATTTTGATTTTGAGGCTACAAGACAAGATAAATCATTAGTGAATTAGGACAACAATTTAAAAAAGTGATGTGGGAGAGATCTAGAGAATCTGTGGGAATAAACTGGCTCATTGAAGAGATGAAAGAAAACAAAGAGTTGTTATAAATAGAATTCAGTCAAACTGTATTAATATCACAAGTGGGATAATTCATGACTCAGTATTAGGACCTTTACCTCAATAAAACAGAACAGATGAAGGAATGGTCAATAGATCATTTAAATTTGCTGATGATCAAGGTTTTGGGTGTTGCTGATTGTAAGGAGAAGGATGCTGCTTTGGAAAAGGATTATTTGATAAGTTGAGCAAATAAATGGCAAATAGCTTTTAATTAAGGAAAATACAAGGTAATGCATGTGGGTTACCATAATTTGAAATATAATATTGATGGGAATAACTAAGTGTTATGAAAGAGAAGTAGCTTGGTGTTCTAGTTAATCAATAGTCTCTTAAGCCATCCAAGCAACTTACTGTTGCTAGTGGCAGAGTAAATAAGATTTTAGATTGTATCTAACAAAAGAATGAATACAAGTCTCAAGAGGTTATAATTTCATTGTATATGACATTGGTTAGGTCACATTTGGAGTAGTATCCAGTCTGGTGCATGGTAATATAAAAAGAAATGGAATTTTAGTTCCTAGTTTCAGAGAGCCAATTTTGAGATCACGAGACTAGACAATTTTGCTAGGGTTGGAGTCATCATCAGCAAGCCAGTTTTACTTTTCTAACAAGGTGGTTGGCCTTTGGAATGAGTTGCCTTCAGGTGTAGTGGATGCAGTTAATTTATCCCTATGTGCACAGGTGAGAGTCAAAGTGCTCAAGCTATGACCTTTTACAGGGTGTCATTCAACATGGTATTGTGTATTTGATGACAGAGTTGTCAGCAATTCATTTAAATCTACACTGCTGATTTAGCAAAAGTTCTTGGTATAGGAGAAGAAATACCAGGTACAATATACAGGAATACTGAAAAACTTTAGATATGCATTTTGGAAGTTCTAGAGCAGTGGTTCCAAACCTGTGGGTTATTACCCCATTTGGAGTAACTTGGCATTTTCTAAGGAATAATGGACAATGGAAGTCAATGAACTTCCTGTTATGTGAAAAAAGCTAAGTAGTATCTTCATGTAAGTGAGTCTTCACTACTTAGCCAGTCACTTTGCATAACTTGTCCCACTCTTTCAACATATGTGCTGAGGTGAGGATGTATACGTTTCTTGCCAAAAGGATGTATACAGAGTAAAGTCACTGTGAAGTTTATTGTACATTTGTGAACAATTTCAATTTTCTAGATCAGGTTTTTTCTCCCCCCAAGTCAATATAATAGCAAGAAAATGAGCATACTATGAAGAATTTTGTCATTTGGCTTCACAAACTTCATTAATAAGACTGTGGAAAAAACCCAATGTGTCCTCTATTCTAAAGTGCTCAGTTTGGAACATATAAAGCCTACTAAGTTGAAAAAGCATTCTGAAAAACTTTGTGGAGAATTCAAAGACAAAGACATTGACTTTTCAAGCATAAAGCAAAGTCTCTGAAGGCAGGAAGAGCAGATTAAACAAGCCATTTTGCATAAAATAATTCCAGTACATTGGAAGCATCATACCGAGTTGCTCTTCACATTGCTCATCGGAAAAAGCCACACATGGTTGGGGAACAGTTCACCAAGACATGCATGTTGGATACCATAAAGCTAGTTTGTGGTGAATCTCAAGCTAAGAAATTAGAACAGGTCTCACTTTCTGAAAATACAATGAAAAATCAAATTGATGAAATGAATGAGGATATCCTGGAACAAGTGATAACAGAGATGAAAGAAGGTAGGTCTTTTGCAATACAACTCAATGAGTGCATCATGTTTGCAATCTGTTGTCTTCACTTGATATGTGATGAAAGGTTGCTTGAAGGAGGAATTTCTTTTCTCAGAACCTCTGGCAACAACCACTTGTGGAGAAGACGTTTTCAACATAGTTCATAGTTCCTTCCAAAAGCATGGTTTGCAATGTGCAAATTTAGTTGGAGTGTGTAGTGTAGGAACACCCTCAATGCTTGGTACTTACTCAGAATTTGAAGCCAGTGTCAAGCAAGTTGCATTACACATCATGTTCACACGTTGTGTTATCCACCATTATGTTTTAGATGTGAAAACACTTTTAGTCAGCCTTCTGAAGGTCTTCCACAATATTGTGAAGGTAACATAACAATGTTTTGGGACAACGTGGGACCTATTGTTCCAACTCGGCTGTTTCATCCTCTAAACTAAGCTAAAACTATTAATAAGTTAATTTTAAAAAAATCTTAAAGCCAGCCTTTATCATTCAATTATTTATCAAGCTTTCTCTTAAATGCACTTAAATTTAATACTGCCAACCTGAAGATAGTAAATTACATTTGTGGAAAAACTCCGATTCAAGAATCTTCAAGGTTCTGTGTGAAGAAGTTGGAGCAGGCTTTCCAGTTCTCCTTTATCACACATAAATACACTGGTTGTCCTGTGGTAAAGTCTGAAGTTGTGTTCTGGAGCTGAAAGACCAGATTGCAATGTTTCTTGAATGAGTCCATTCAGCAAATGGAAGAAGTTTCACAGAAAGTTGCAAGTCAACCAGTTTATCTCGAAATTGGCGTATCTTGCAGATTTTTTCTGTGAGGTCAACTCTCTTAGTTTATCATTTCAGGGTAAGTTGACAAACATGCTCACAGCCCAAGATACGGTAGATGTCTTTCTTTGGAAACTACAGCTATATGAGTACAGTGCTATTGCTGGTGATATCAGTATGTTTCCTGAAATGGTCTTACAGTTGGAGACTCAGAACAGTAATTGTTTCTTCCATGATGAACTCAAAGAATATTCAAGTTCCATTCATGAAACAATCTCCAGCTATTTTCCATACACAGAACAGAGAATGAAAAATGCTTGGATTTTGAGACCTTTCTCTTCGGGAAACTATGTTCTGTCTGGTGGTAACACCTGGGCAAAAATAGAATTTTTGTATTTCAGAGAGGACACTATTCTGAGAGCTGAATTCAGTAACACTGAACCAGTCATGTTTTGGATACAAATTTGCCAAGAATATCCAGCTTGGGCATTTTGATTCCTTTTTCAACCACATACAGATGTGAAGCCAGGTTTTCAGAGCTTGTTACCATCAAAACCAAGGCACAAAGCAAACTGGAAGTGAATGGAGACCCGAGAAGTACTCTGTCTGTTACAGTACCGAGAATCAGCCATCCAGTTGACAAAAAGCAGTTTTAGCCTTCCCACTGAACTGGACAAACACCGAGTGATTTGAATTGAGATGCATGGTAGTAAAATATCATTATCATTGTACTTACGTGCAGCCTCTTTTTGCTTTTTACTTTGAATTTTTTTATAAAGCCTTGTGTTGACACAGTTAAACATAATAAAACAAAAGTTTTTGACTGTGAAGTTTTGTTTTTCCCACTTTTAAAAGTTTCAACTTACCTTCAAATTTGGAAGAATCTCCTACAAATGTAATCTTGAGGCTTACCGAGTACTCTGAAGTTTGGTTGTGTTTGTTTTTGCAGTGGAGGATAATGACTGATTTATCTGATGGCTAGAGGGGTACTGGGATGGAAAAGGGTGGGAACCACTGTTCCAGAGGTTATGAAAATGCAATACACAAACTACATAATGAACAAAAGTATTTTTATTCTTCACATGAACATCACCTTACCATACAACTTGTCAGAATTTGAGTCATACTGACACTATCAATTCATAGGCATATCTTGAGTATGAATATCTGTCACTCACCTGATTTTTTAGTGTGCATAACAGACTTTTCCATTTTACTAAAAGCTTCCACATTTTGTATAGATACATAGCAAATTCAGAATTATAGTCAATTTTCTTCTCCAATACTGGGTCAGTTCAATGAACTGAGCCCATGGACATTTGATTTAGGGAGATTAAGTGAAGGTTTGATAAATATTTGAATGATAAGGGCTAGCTTTTAGTGACTTATTTTCATTTTAAAGTTTAGTTTAGTGAATGAGGCAAACTAGATGGAACAACAGGTCCCTTATTGTCCTCAAATTACCTGTTAATAATCTCTTTTCTCTTTATAAAGTGTTAAGGACTTTAATTAGCAAACTATCCAGGTTTCATTCCAATAATATGTGAAATATTTAATGCAAGTTCTTTGAATAAAAGAGCACAGTTTTCTCTGAACTATCCATGGTAACAATTCAATAACATTTTAATAACAGTGACTCCCTTGCCGACAATACTCAACCAACAAGACACTTTTGAGTTTTTCATTCTAAACTCTTAAGTTAAAAATGTTTTTACATCTGCTGTACTTTATCAATAACACTTTGTTTAAATAGGCAAGGTTGGATAAGTTACTGAAGATACGACTGAAACAGTGATATGTGATGTCAATAAACTAAAAATTATAAGTACAAACTAAAGTTTAGTGTAGTGTTTAAAACTAAGTTCGTTTTAATGTTTAGTAAGTCCATATCTATAAAATTACCACAATTATACTTTATAGTTATAAATATAATTAAATCAGTAAACTATTATTATGAATATGAGTAACTACGAACTAGTAAAGACCTAATAAATAAACAATCGTCCTCTGTCAAAATCTCATTCAGTAGTGTTAAAAGATTAAACTTTAAAATATAAATTTCAAGAACGTTTGAATAAAAATTACACATTATGTCGTAAGCCTAAGCTAAAGAATAAATGTAACTAATTTCAATACAAATAAGTTAATAATAATAACCCACCATCTTCTTTGGTATCATTGATAATGATATTAACGACATTGTTGTTTCCTGCCACAAACTAAAAATATTTTCTGAAAGTGAAACTCAAATTCTGTAGCTATTCCAATTGCGATTGGTAAAAAATACTAAACTTTAGTTCAATATTAAGTTCACAAACAGAAATCTTTTTCTTCAATTAGATTTCATTTCCCATTTTAATTTTATGGTGTCTAATATCACACCCTTAATAACAGGAAAACATGAATGCTACGCCATCTGCTTTTGTCAAACCTCATCTGTGTGAACTTGATGAAGACTTTTAGTTTATAAGTAAAATAGAAAGTAAGAGTATTTTTTTTTCTATTTCTGAATCTCGATTAATTAAGTACGTTTTAGTTCAATATAATATAACTTTCACATTCAGTGGGGTTGATGTTTTGTATTTACTGTCTCATATGCTTAACACCAGTAGACTTTCTAAAGCTACCGTACCATTACATATTATTGAAAGTTTATTTTTAATGTTGTCATTTATTTCAGAGCTAAAGGACGTAAAACGCCAAAAAAACAAAAAAACTTGACGTCAAGTTTTT